GATTGATTTGTGCAATTTCGTCTCTGATGCCGAACTTAGGAGAGATGATAATGGAAGTTGGGGAAAACCTGCTGGAAATTCAAGGTTCTCCTTATTTTGTGTCGATGTTGACCCATCCAATTACAAATTAATTGTACCAACTCCATGTATCTAGGTATTATAAAATTGATCCGGATACTGGTGATGCAGTGAGAGTTGATCGTTGTTGCAAGCTAATAGAAGGTGCCGAATACGATGTACAGGTAAGCTTGCCTCGACGTTCCCTGAGATTGTGACACTCATGGAAGCAAATATATCTGAAAATTCAATGGAATAATTTTTTTGGTCGAGTGCCCTGACCTAGGAAAGGTTCTCTCCCACTCTGATATGTGCAGAAAAGATGTTATTTTCCCTTTTTCATACTCGCCATTTAGTTTCGTGGCATTTTAACTTGCTCTCTCATGAAATTCCCTTTCCTTTTTCATATTCACCATGACATTTCGTGGCATAATAAATTGCTCATTATGATCTTCTCAATTCGAGTTGTCAACTAAAAGAGAAACAACTACTTTCCGAAATGAGCTGTTGAAAAAACGTAAGAATAAGGAGTTGTTTTGGATTGAAGATAACCTTTCTATCATATATTTGACGTTGGTTTTGCTTAGGTGAAACTTCAGTTTGGGGGAGGGGCACTCCTTGCTATCTTATCCGTAGTACAAAGAGCCCTCCTTTGGGCTATCCAACACTATATATAAGATAATAAGTAACCGAACTGGAGTTTCACCTTGCTTTTAACCTGTAGAGACATTTTACAGATTCTCTCCAAACGGTACGAACACCCATTGGTCAATGGAAGGTTTGTGCGGAAGATTTACACTGGTAGGAGTCCAATGAATTCTCTCAGGTAACGTTGGCGTACGAAACATGTGTTTTTCATGTTGAGCACATTGGTGAGCAGCAATCTTTCACAGGATGTATGAACCTTGTATGACATTAGCTGTTCTCACTTACTACTGGAAAGGGGAGCCTGAGTACTTCGAGGTTGGACCGCAGAGAAGGGTAAGAATCTACTGATTAGCCAGCTCATTCGCATGCTCTATTATGGATTTTAGGTAAGGATCGCTGATGCTGCTGAAAGATCACGTCTGGAAGTACAGTACCCTCTGCAGTCTAGTCAGCCATGCTTTACAGGTAACAGAGAGGGTCGCACTGATGTCGTACATAGTACATAATGGCGTCTTCACTTCAGATCGCACAAGGGCACCATCTCCTCCCACGAAGCGCACACTAACGTTAGAGTCGACGAAGAAGAATCCGGAAGCGGCATTCAGTCAGTTATGTATAGAACTGAGTACGAGCTGCAGGTAAACGTTTTTTGAAAGTGATTAGTCTTCATGGCTTCAAAAATGTGCACCAATAGAGCAATCCGATGACGATTAACAGTCGAAGTTGTGTTTTTGTTCACCCATAACTTTGTTTTAGGAACGCCAAGCAAGTCTGTTAGATCGATTTTGAAGCTTTTATGGATAGGCTCGAGCGGATAAGCATGTGCCTTCCTCAGCTTCAAGTGCCTGTCCAACAGGTTTTTTTTTCGTTTCTATGTTTTAGGCTACTACCTGAGTGAGACTGCTACTTCAATGTGGTATGCCTTTTAGGTTTTGGGTAGGTGGAGCATCTCATGATGACGATACGATTGCTCACGAAGAAGAAATAATCATAGAAGACGGGAATTTCAATGAAGATTATCCAAATATCTCGTGATCCAATGTAATGTGATGTGACTGCTCAGAGATTAGTGCCAAATAATATCAATGTTCATCTAATCATTTGAGCTCTATATTGCCAACGATTTTCTACTCAAAAATCTGTGCGTAATAAATGTTATCTGTTTTTTGGTACTTGTTATAAGCTCTAGTTCATTTCAGCTGTTGTGTTCAGTCGCAAGCGTTTTATCAGTCGGACGTATGTTCAGTGGTGGAAATTGCGGGACCTCAATCAGGGTTTCACAGCAGACCGGGTGGATGCGTGTGATGGATTTTTACTCGTCTAGATCTCCTTCGGTAACCGAATGACGAATTCGTTCATGTAACATAGGACTTGGCTGAGTCAGGTGTAAGTTCTGTGCCTCTTTGGATCGTGAGCACCGTTGTCGCCATTTCTGCTGTAACGACTTTGTAAGTGGTAAAGGGATAGTAATTGGTAGCTGCCTCCGCATTTCCATCGTGCGCAAGCGGAATTATCGCAAGATGTCGGTCCAAGTGCCCCATTTTGAGCATTTGAATACTACTGAATATGACCAAATAGAATGCAACAAGAGTCGTCATTCAGCGATCACTATCGTGATGGCGGAATTAAAGAAAACCTCGTAGTGCTGATCGGGACACTTGTGATTAATGTGATCCAACGCGCGAATGCCAAATCGCGCGGCGGGTCGCCACTGTGACACCAGCCTTGAAGTTGCACTTGCTGATATGTAGATTTTCTTTTTTAAAATTTAATAACGACAGCGTGCGCCATCATGCGGGCGCACCGTGTATTATTTTATTTTGTTTTTAAGATATTCTATACCAAATCTTAATATACCCGTATATACTCTCAGCAATGTGGAATAACATATCTTCCCAGGACCTGGACGACTGGATTTTTGACAAACCTACAATAAATTTTACATACATTTTGTCTTAATTTACATAAGTTTACTATTTGATGGGTGGCTTACCCATGGTTCGCACGTCCCGAGACCCCTTCCCCTAAATATAGCCACATCCTTGCTCGGGGTTGTTGTTTCGCATTTTTCGATAATGTCACCTACAGCTTCCATTCATTCTTTGCACCCTAGTTTTAGAGCGGAAAGGCGGGCTACGAACTTGTCGTCAACGGAAATCTCTTCTTTTTGGATGATGAGACACGGACACCTACTTTAGCCCCGTCTTAACCCTGCTGTTCGCATAAGCCTACTTTAAACCCTACCCTGGGTGGCGGCGTGCGCCACATGGTGGCGCACGCGAAAAATACACTGGCCGTCCGTTATGGGTTAATTGATTCATGGAGAATTAAGGTTCTCCGCGTGTACCTCTGCACATGAGTCCTTATCAAGCGAAAATTCTGGGTGTAATTCACTGGGGCAGAAAGCGACATTTTCGCGCTTCGCAGCGCAAAACTCTTCGCTTTGGGAGCCTCGGGTCCACTGATGATCATCGTATACCTGGGTCCCCGCAGAGGAAAATGTTTCGCGCTGCGAAACGAGGAATGGTACTTTCGCCTCAGGTAACCCTACACTAAGAGCTCCCATATATGCAAAGAAAACCTTCCCACTCCGTCTCGGATTCAGCAATAGGGGGGAGAAGGCACATTGCTTGCAATTTCATACCACTGTAATCGCCGATAGGCAGCTGACGCGTATGGAACCAAAATTTAGCTGAGCTATCAAATAGGGGTTATCCGCCGCTTCTCGCTCAATCCACGGTGAGAGTGTAGGCAATGGGCAGCCAGACGTTTCTTGTGTTCGTGCGACTAACCTTTTGATAGAGGTAAGGAAAGCGGAGATTTGCTGTATATAGCGGCGCGCTGGTGAGAGCTCCCACTACCACGTGCATCAACAAAAACACGCTGTAATGCGCCTAGCCTCACGTTGAACAAATGTCCGATGCCGCCTGCTAATAGTGAGGATAGCCATCTCCTGATCTCCCCCACCTTCTGAATGTTCTGGTTCTGATATGCTTTTCCTTCAAGAAAAACCTAATGGAATTAAGCTTGGCTCGCGAGTATCTCGGAATAGGTTTTGAAAGAGGTGCGCTTCATGTCGTTAGGGGGGGACGTTTGAAATTAGTGGCACTTTGATTAGAACTTGGGACTAAGCTTTAGGGAGGGGATAGGATTTTTGGAGCAACCATCGTTCTCTCTTGTATTTATTCCAGGTCCTGGGCTTAGTCCTAGTGTCACCTACCACCGGCTTTTGAATGCGCTGCTCTGAATGTCTCCCCCAAGGACATGAAGCTACCAAATGAGGTGTCCTTAATAGGTAGAACTGGAAGCGTAGCGCACATTTCCCAACTCAAAACAGAAGTGCAAAGCAGCATGGAGTCACGTCTGCGGAAATCCGTTCCTAGAATATTCTCCGTGGCGCTGCGTCTTTGCCCGCTGAGCACCATTTGTGATGGAACGTTCGCGAAGCGCGGTCAGACATTCCAGACACCTTGTCTGTGAATGATAAGAGATTCGCTTCCCCTGTCCCCGTTGAATTCTTTGTACATTCGTTTTGTTTTGCCGTTGTTACTCTCTCCATGTGTAAAAGAATTGAATAATTCTGTCTGATCGTCATCAAATCAAGTACTTGGGCCGTCAGAGTTTTATCCGTATTATGAATAGTCCAATTATTTATTCTAACCTTTTCACTGATTTGTTTCTTGACCCTTGAAATCTCATCTTGTATGATATTGGGCTCGGCGTTCTCCAAGTTCGCAAGTCATCCTATCATTTGAAATCGATGCGATAATGCTTATATCTTTGAAACGCCAATTAATGGTTCCCCCCGGGAAATTAATGTTGTTAGTTCATCTCTCTCTGCGCATGGGGGGATTCGTAAGAACAACAACAAAGCTTATAGAGTTCTTCTTCCGTTGCCTCAGGTGAAATGTTTGTTTGGCAGCTTCAGTATCCATGGTAGAATTTCGAAGAATCTACAGTTGAAGCCTCTCTGTGATTTCAAGATTTTTTTCACCAGATGATCCTTTTTGGAAACCTCCCTGTGGCCCAATGTCTTCATTTGGTTGGCTTGAACCAAAAGAAATGTGTTGTGAAAGGGTTCGACAGGAAAAATGATGTTAACATTTCGTATTTGTTTGTAGATAGAGACCTGTCCGTTGACAGCTCTACGCTAGTGCTGAAGAGATCCGAACTTTCTATGTTGATTCTTGATGTAATTGTAATGAGTTTTGCCCTTTCAGCTTCGAGTTAATCATTTCCTCTTCGTGGCTTGTTTTGTGAATTACATCATAGGAGATCTAACAGTAATTTCCTGGTCCTCTTATATTGAAACGTTGGCATTTCCATTGTTGTCCTTGTTGTAATTGTATGTTATACTTTTGGCTCGAGGTAGTTATCGTGGAAGATTTATTTCTGCCAATGTTTCGACTGTCACATGGCTTAACTCTTTTACTATTACAACCTCGGAGCAAAAGTATAACTTACAATTACAATATCCAACAGTGCTGTTCTTCGAAAAGCGAGTCCGAAGGAAAGTCATGCTTGTGCGTAGATATCGGCAAAGGTCGTTCTTCAAATGCTTGTTCCATCCACTGCATGCTAGGCTTGAATTTCGCGTAAGGCTGGTGTCAGAGTCCGCGATCCGTCGCGCGATTCGCGCGACGACCACAGAAATCACAAGTGCCCCGATCAATACTGCGAGGTGCTCTCCAATCCCGCCGCCATTTCTGCTTGATGGTGATGGTTGAATGACGACTGTTCATGATTCTACTTGTTTCATATTCAGTGTTTCAAATGTTCAAATGGGCACTTGCGATTTTTGCGATTCGCGCGAATGGCGCGTCTGACTCTGACACCAGCCTAATGCCGTGCTCAAGCGTACTTTCCATTTTTTCTTCATCGTGTGTGCAGTCGAACGCAAAGATAAGTCCATACTATAATGCATCTTTTCAGGAATATCTCGGGTGCTGATCTTCTTTCGTAGAGATGACGAACCCTCAAGAAGAGGTATGCGCCCACGTCCTTTTTAGTTCCCATTTGAAGTGTTCTTTCATTTGCATGTCTACTGCTCTCCATTTGAGTATTACTTACTGTAGGCTGTGGCTGAAAAGAATCTGGGAAATGCAGCATATAAATTGAAGAACTTCGAAGAAGCTCATAAACATTATGATAAAGCCATTGAACTCGATCCTTCTAACATTACGTTCTATACTAATAAAGCAGGTAAGCTTCGATTTTTTGTTGATTTTTTGGTGGTCTTTCCTTCCATTCTTGTGTGACTCTTCATGTTATTTTTCTTTGTTTTGCCGTATTAATATAGGTGTTATGGTGCCATTTCAGCCGCCTATTTTGAAGAGCACAAATATGACGAATGTATTGAAGTTTGCAAGAAAGCTGTTGAAATCGGACGTGAACAGAGGGCTGATTTCAAACTGATTGCGAAGTAAGTTTTTGCTCGTAATGCGTACAATCGTATTTTATGATGCTCCATTCAATGACGGTCGGACCGCGCTCATTCTCAACATTTGGAAGTTTCGGCGAAAAAGAATGGATGCGTATCGATCAGGCAGTTCAACACGGTTCTCCCAGAGTTATGGGGAGGACGGTGCTGGTGAATCTATGCATCCAACCCTTATCGGTGGTTGTGAATTAACCTAATCTTAATACTTGATTCTCGAAATTGGTTTGCGAAAAGCTTGAGAAAAAACGGTAATCCATTCAGTTTGTATGTAATCCTTCCTGCAAAGTCCTTGAATCATTTGTTCTATGTCAGAGTTCGAAAGCATACTT